CGACCAGAAGAGGTGATTAATAAACTCGTAGAGAAATCTTAAAGCTCACTTTAGTGAATTGAAGTATGCGCTGAAGATGTCACCTAGAGCAGAGGTGGCGATGAAAGCTTTGCAAATTAGCTATCCAGCTCAGAGAAAACATAACCAAATTAAAATCATCCACGTGAGCTACATATCTTCTCTCTATCATATTCAAGGGAATTATAATAATCAATACCTGTATCAAATTATTTGAAGTGGTATTTACTTCACTCAGTGAACACTCTTCATTTATGATCGATCTTTTTTTTAATTTGTCTAATAGACAGTGTGATAAGTTTGTCATTGACTATTTATTTATTTGTCCCTTGGATCATTCATTCATGCAAAGACAGATGATTCTGATTGGCTGCTTTCATTTGCCTACTAGGCTATTTTTATAGTCGACTTCCTTCCAGACATTCACACATATATGATGGGAACAAAAAAAATTTCCCCAGGATTGGATTTTTATTTCTCACCTAAAAAAGAAACGCTTTTTGTTCCAGAATATTTCCCCTCTAATTAAATAACGCCTGATTGATGAATACGTTTTTACTGAGCTATCTTTCAACAACCTTTGCCTTTTCTTAGTGTTCTGAGTAGAACGTTGGGCTTCACACTTTAGGCTTTGCAGTTTCCTTGGTAGTGCTTATTATATTATTGCTCCCTTGGGTTCCTGGTGGAACATAGGGCTTCAACTGCACGTCTCCATTTGCTTTTGTCTTGCTTCTGCTGTACTTTTCACCTGCATCCATGTTAGTCCATACATACCGTTTCAACTCCTCTTCACACGATCTCCACCATGTCACCCTTGGACATCACACACGCCGCTTTCCTTTCGGGTTCCACCCGAGGGCTTGACGCACGATGTCACCTAGTGGTCTCCTCAGCGAGTGTTCAATCTATTTCCAATTTCTCTTGCATATTTGTTGGTTGGCGATTATTGGTTCTTGTTTTGATTGTTCCTTCCCATAGGTTCTTGTTGGTGATTCTTTCCGGCCCGGCTATCTGATCTTCAGTATAGATCCAGAGAAGAGAGTTGTTGATAAAGGTCTATAACAGGCTGTTGGAAATATTCTTTGCGACCCCCCGCCAACTTTCTTATTCATATAGAAGAGCTGACTGACTTGTAATTTGTATTGAAAACCCGACCGAATTTCGTTGTTGATGCTGGCTGAGTGACGAAGATTTCCAGATTGGTTTGAGGTTGGTGAATGTGTTTTTCGCCTTCCCGATTCTCGATTCTCGATTTGACATCCTCGTCCGTTCCGACTGCGTGTAGTTGAGACAATGCTCCCTAGATAAGTGAATGAATGAAGTAACCTCTTTCAAATCCCTCCCGTTGATGGTGATTGGCGCTGGATGTTGCTGCTGTTGTTGGTTGGTTGGTTATTTTCATAACCTCCGTCTTGTTCACCTATGTTCACCTGGAGTCCTGTCTTTGCTGGCTGCTTCTTCGACCAGTTCGTCGGTCGGTTTTCGCTTGTAAGTCTTTGATTTTATGACAGTGACATCAAACATGAATCATCCGCGATGATCTCTTAATTTATGGAGTGAGATTGGCAGCCACACCCCACACCTTCACTGTCTTTCAGAAATACTGCTTCCCAGTAGGATAGACAAGGTTAAGAGGTGCGCTTGCCAGGAATCGAACCCAAATCACTGGCTTGGCTTGCTATCAAGCTACCACTGAACCACCGATACACTATGAGAATTGAAGTTGCGACGAAAATGAGTTAATTTTTTGAAGATGTTTGTGGAAAATCTGGTTATGTAATGGGTAATAATTTTTGAGATCACAATCTGAGGGCTTTAAACTACTGAGTTTAGAGGTGTTCTACCAGAGCTACCTGACTCAGCTGCTATCTAAATTGACAATCAGTTCAATGGACGGTAATGCCTGGTCATCATGTGAATTCTGCGGAACATAATTGTCGGTTTACATGTCAATACACCAGGTTAGGTTTTGCTTAAGTTAGGGTAATCAGACGACATTCATATGACGGCTGTATATTACGTGTACCAAATGCCATTGGGTCTCTGCGGCTCAGTTGATGATTAGAGCTCTACATTTCCGATTCATAAACGGCCTTTATAAATCATACCCTTGGATGCAGATAGATCTTTATTTCATTGTCAAGCAGGTCTAACGACATCACTAACTGTCTTCCAATAGAAGTCCTTTTCGACCGGAAACTAGTAACTAGTGTGACGTGTCTAGTCCTTTCTTTGGTGCAGACTGAATTCTATCAGTCAGGTTTGCAATGTGGCCACCGTTCTAGGTAGCTCACCATCACGGTGCACATTGATTTGATGATATTAGATAGTTTTAGGCAGTCGGCCACAGGAAGCCTTGCTTGACCTACGTTTCGTGCTAGTTGGCACTCACCAGTCAGCAAGGCGTATCTGCAACCACCTTGAAGGAACTCATGTCCCTTCTGAGATTCGAACCCGCGTCACCCAGTTCCATCTGCAGTCAGACTTGTTACCACTGAGCTATTCCCGACTCGCGATTGACCTCCTGTAGGACTGCAGTGGGTAGATTGATCTAATATCATCTAACTGTTTAATATCATCAATTAAATGTGCATCGTGATGGCGAGCTACCTAAAACGGTGGCCACATTGCAAACCTGACTAATAGAATTCGGTCTGCACCAAAAACAAGACTAGACACGTCACAATAGTTACTAATGTGCAATCAAACTACCCACTACAGTCCTACAGGAAGTCAATCGCGAGCCCGAATAGCTCATTGTTAACGTCTCTGACTGCAGTACTCAATCGGTGACGCGGGTTTGAATCTCAGAAGGGACATGAGTTCCTTCAAAGCGGTTGCAGATACGCCTTTCTGACTGATAAGTGCCAACTAGCACAAAACCCAGGTCAAGCAAGGCTTCCTGTGGCCGACTGCCTAAAACTATCTGATATCATCAGAAGTCTTTTTCATTTAATCTCATCATTAAATGTTTATGATGGTAATTTTTTTTAATGGATACACCTTGAGACGTAAGGTTTTCTATGATAATAAATTGTTTTGAATAGTTGTTGCTTTTATATAAGGTTAAACGTCGATATTATTTCCTGACCACAACGTAGACTAGATCTAGATCTCAGAAATAAACGTTTCTACTTTTGTAGTCAGCCGTGTGACTTCAAATGCTGTTTTCAATTGTGGCTACCTTGCATCAGTCTACGTCTGTATAATGCTGATAATTGTTGTCATTAGCACACAAACACACACACACACACCACAAAACCAGATGAACAAGGTTTCGACGTGAATATTCTTCGGTCAATCTTGGTTTTTGCCTTATAAATGTCTGGATATTGACTGGCATATGTGAATCCCAAAACTTAAGTTCAGCAGACAACAAAATTACTCTCCTTTTTAAATTCCCCAATTTTTCTGATCATTTCACGTGTTTCTACCTTTATTTAGGCGTGTTTCTCGTCAGATTTCCGAACATCATCCTGCAAAAATGTTTGTTAAGTAAAAAACAAACAAAATTCATTCACATAGAGCTATTCTATCTCATCTTGTAAATACAGAACACAAGTTTGATATTAACGCGGCAACTTTCAAAGTCATCTACCACATACCAACAAATCTCAACCTCCCATTTACGAGTTCGTCTATTACATGTATTGCTGAGGTTGTTGGGATTCACAATAAGAAGCGTAATTCATGTGTCAGATATTGTCTTTATCTCAGCCATCTAGGTCCTAATGATCCTCAATTTTTGTAACGATTTCCCTAATTTTATTTGATATTCTATTAGCTATTATGTTATTATCATTTTAATTTAAGCATCTTCACCGAATTGCAATTCCATTGTAACCTTACTTTACAAATCGATATCATTTAAAAACACTAATATTTTTCAAGTATTCGTTTATAGGGATTTAACTGATTGGCTACAGGATTTCATCATGAGCTAACATCAGTTGGAGAACCATTGGAAAACCACCTGGGAGTACTGAATAGCTGTTTCGTCCTAGTTTGCAACTCTTCAGCAGTACGCTCATCATGAAATCCTGTAACCAATCAAATCGCTACAAACCAACACTTGAATATCAATGAGATGCTCACTAGCGCCTTACCTTTACTCAGGTAGGTAGTTACCTAGGGTTCTAGTGAGAAGTCGTGACCAGTGGGCTAAAGCACGTCGGAGGTGAGGATAAATACTCGCCGAAGGCATTGGCTAGGGGTAGCGCTATGTCGTGAATTGGCAGTAGTTGGAATTCATGAGCCATTGGATTTAATAGTAATAATAATAATAATGGTAAAGCTTTATTTAAGACAGTATGCTAGTATACGGTACAAAAATTTTCAGCATATTCATTTCCAAAGTACTTTTTTCTTCACACAGGATTCACATGTAAAGTAATAATCTGAAGTATATCTTCATTTGATGAATTGTACAGCGTTTACTTGGGAGAAAGTTTAATCACCGCGCAAGTTTATGTATAGGTCATTTGATATAATTGCAAGATTAAAACAACGATAAATCCAGATGAAATTAAGCATTTTGGAGGAAAGTAATTTCGGTAGCCCAATGATTTAAGCAGGCCGCCAGTAGATACGAAGTAGATACGATTGGGTTCCAGTGGCTTAATGGTCTACGGGCTTGCCTGTCTTGTGACGAGAATGTCCTGGGTTCGAACCGTGGTGGTGAATGCGTACGGATGAAGAGTCCCAAACTAGAATGAAACAGCTGGCTGTCCAGTACTCCCAGCCGGTTTTCCAATGGCTGTCTAACTAATGTCAGCTTATAATGAAATCCTGTGACTAATATTGAAATGAAATTCTGAAACTAATAATGTTATCGACGACTATTCTAGAATATTCTATATATATATATATATATATATAATTGCAGAACCATAAGAGAAAATTATCGAAAAGGATGTTCTTCGCTCAGTTATTTTGTTTTTTTTAAAGATGTCTGAATGAATATTTATTTTTGCCTTATTTAGTTGTTAGCTATCCACCGAATGCCACGAAAACTGATCACAATGAAGGCGCAAGATGGTTGTGCAAAGCATTTGAAAAACGTTATGGTGATAACTATAGGGTATGTTCATTCAATTAGGAATTATTTTCTCATATATATATGCGTATATATGTACATTTAACCTCTCACTTTTTGCGCAACACATAAATGTGTGTAACAAATAAGTAGTCTGTCATTTTATGGAGAATTTCGATCAGTGTCATTTATTGTTACAACACACCTTTTGATACTTTGCTGTCTCTGTCCTTTTATCAATCAATAAATCTGGAGAACAAACGTAAAATGTTGTTACTATAAGATGTGTAGCTAAATTTTGATGAATTGTAAAATATGTGACTACAGTATAAACGTAAATGTCCGCTATTTAGGCGATTTGGCATATTGTCACAAACATATCTTATAAATATCGTTGATATTTCATGCTATTGAACAATCTCGTTTTGTTTTTCATTGATTGGGAAATACAAAAAAAAAAAAAAAAAACCTCTATTAAATATAAGTAGTTTGTTATATAAAATAAAACTTTCACCAAAACAGTATTTGCAGTGACCGATAACTCCAAAAATATAATTTCAAAAAACCAAAATATCAGGATTCAGACCAAACGATTAGTGATCAAAAAATGCAATCGCAGAAATTTCTACTGTAATCGCTAATCCAGCATGATCCGTTTTGTCACATTTAGAACCCGTCCACTGGATCTACATGCATTTCATTGAATGATTGTGTTGTAACAATATATAGAGTTCCTGGGCCAGTGGATTTCATCCAAATTGTTCAATGGTATATACCTTGTAAACTAAAAGCCCTTGGGTTCGACTTCAGTTAGAGTCATGAGTGCGTACTGCTGAACATTTTTAAACCAGGATAAGGTAGGTATCAAATGCTTCCTTGGAAACAAGGGGTTCTCCAGCTGAAGTTCGTCTTTGATCAATCTCAAGGCATTTTTGAACTGTTCGCACTAGTAGATAGCATGTCAACACGGGCCGAATAACAAAATCCAGTAATACTGATAATCAGGAGACTGCAAATCATTTCATTTTTTCTTCAAGACAATGGAGATTGAACAAAGAATACTCTTTTTGATAACTTCATTCTTAGGTACTACAGTTATATATACAATAAAGTGAATGAATGAATTAATGTTATGAACAACATTATTGTTTAAATACATATTGATAGATTACAGTTCAGTATCATCAACATAAAATAAGCTGAATGTCAGAAAAATTAGGGAAGATAATATTACAAATTCATGAATTTATAGTCTCTAATGAAGGCCGACTAGGGCAGTAGTAGGGACTGAACTTGCTTCTTTTTAGGCGAATTGTAACAGCCTCTTCTGTTTGGAGCATGTGGTGTTTCGATGATTTTGGTAATTTATTAGGCACCCAGCAGATTATAGAGAAGGATTCTTCTACGCTGGCTGGCTTTTTGGCCGGTTTGCATCAGATGGACCAACATTGAGCTGTTAATGGTTTCCACTACACCTTTGCTTAGCCATGTTGGGAGATGTTCTCAAGCACGAAAAATCAAGTTCCTAGAGCATCGGCCAATATAACTCGCTCCACACCGAGTGCAGTAGAATCGGTAGAGACAATTTGAAGTGGCCAGTCTAGGTACTTCATCTTTCAATCGAGGTCGCAACATCATTCGTGTAGAGAATAAGACATGTAGCTCGTCAGCATTAAAAGTTCTTTGAACTGATTTCCCGAATTTCTTTGTAATTATCTCATTGGTATATTGTCTTTGAATTGCAGTCGTATATAAAGTGGCTTCTTGTTTACAGATAGTGAGTAGTCCTTTTCCACCGCTTTCTTTGTCATGTGTTTCTTGATAACTTTTTCGGGATAGCTATTTTCCATCAGTGCTTATTTCATCTTCAATTACTTCTTCTGAACATATAGCTCAAACTTTATGGCTGAGGGTCTTGACTGAATTTCTTTTGTACTTGTTAGGAAAGAAGCTGTGAAAATGCGTATGTTGTCCTGTCCAAGTACTTTTTCTATGCAAATTTCTTTTTATGCTACCATCTGGTTTTCTGTAAGGAGGACATTCAGGAAGGCAATTCTGTCTTGGGATTCCTCTTCAAATGTGAATTTCATAGCCGAATGTACTTCATTGAGTTTATTTATTATTGTACTTCTATCTGAGTCATTATGACAAAGAATGAAGGTGTCATCCATAAACTGGTAATAAAATGAGAACTTACTGATAAGGTTGTTCAGAGGTCCATTTTCTAGCCTACTTAGAAAGAAATCAGCCGAAATCGGACCCAATGGCGAGCCCGTCGGCATCACCATCCACATGCATGTAAAGCGTGCCGTCAAATTTGAAGTTTACATTCATGATACACCTTGATAACAATTCTTTTAGGATTTCAGTACGGATGCAAATGTTTATCGAATGGTTATCAACTTGTTCACCTATGTAATTAACTTTTTCTATTGAAGGTACATTTGTGAATAAAGATGTTATGTCCAGAGATATCATGGTTTTATCCTTGTTGTATTATTATCTTTTATTTTGTCTACGAATTCAAATACATCTTTGGCACTATATTTCACTATCTTCGCATGCAAAGGTTTGAGAATATATTTACTAACCATCTAGCTAAGGCATGGTGGGTAGAATTTCGCGTATATCATGTACTGGTCTAAACGGTATCTTCGGTCTATGAACTTTAGGTAGGGCATACTATTTTGGCGTGTACGTGCCCGTCGGTCTGATTTCTTCATATAAACTTTCTTCAAATATCTGGTTAATTCGTTGTCTATTTTGTTATTGAAATCTTTCTTGTCCTTAAGTTTCTGAAACTTCTGTGTGTCCTTCAATATACATCATCCATCTTTTTCTCAATATAGCCACTTCTGTCAAAGAGGACTACTCCAGATCCTCAGTCAGGCTTTGTGATTATCAGTCTCTTATCATTTATCAGTTTCTTTATTTATTCTCTGTGCTTCTTCGTCAAGAAACGTTTACTGTCGTATTTGATATTCTCTTTTTATTACAGCTTGATTTCACACCGTACTTTTGGTACAGGTATGGAATTTTCAGTATGTGATATCGGTAGCCCAAATTATGCAGGCCAACCATAGATATCAGGTGTGCATCGGTAGGGGATCGAATCCTGGACCATGTGCATGGTCGGCGGGAGTCCTGACCACTGTGACACCGACGCACTGATAACAACAATCCACTAGACTCGAGACGAAGCGTTCTAGTTCCAAGGTGGATGATGGAACCAGATCTCTTGTTTGATTAAATAGGTTTTCAAATTCAATATCAGTATCTAAATGATTAACCCGTTTCGTCAATCGGTACTTACATGTTATGGACAGTACTGATTAGGGTATCTAGAGGAGAAGTCTTTAGTAAGTGTGGTTAATTAATGTCTACCTTAAGTACAACTGGCAGCTTACAAAGTAATTCTATTAAAGTATGTTTAGTTTCATTTGTAGTATCACTTTCCAAAAACTGCAAACATAAAAGATTTTTAATTGAATTGAAGATTTTCTCGTCGATTGACCGGACCGAAGTGCTTGGCCTCAGTTTGACATGTTTGCTTCTTTTGCAGATGCTTCAACGATGTCTGGGCATGTTATTAGTATTTAATTCGTGTATAGTGACTAGCAGTGGAATCCAGGATGCGCATTTCGTTTTGTTTGGAGCTCGTCCTCTAGCTGGGTATATCTGCATTCCCCAGTGAGCGATGATGTTCCCACTACGGAGGCTCGAACCCAGTGTCCATAATTTCAAACGCAAAAGCATCATCCACTAGACCACTTGGGCCGCGAGAGTCACTGGCTCGGGTCATATTAATATTTAATTGAATTTTAGATTTTCCCGTCGATTAATTTAACCGAAGTGATTGGCCTCAGGTTGACATGTCGGCTTCTTGTGCAGATGCCCAGACGTCGTCGTTCAAGAGGTGGCTCTCGTGGTCCAAATGGTCTGGTGGATAATACTTTGGCGTTCGAAACTGTGGATACTGGTTTCGAGCTTCAGTGCAGGGAACATCATCACCCACTGACTGTGAAATGCAGGTACATCCAGCTAGAAGGACAAGTCGCGAACAGGATGAAATGCCCATCCTGGCTTGACTCCACTTCTAGTCACCATACATCAATTGAATTCTAATAAATGCTTTTTATATGCTATTACAAAAGTAATGAATGAGCTATACGAAAAATGTGTAAAAAAGAGGGCGAAACCGTTTGTTTTTCTACTGTTGGTTTCCCTCATCATTCTGACGCCATGCCAACACACAATCACATTTAAATTCATGCATTTCATTGAAATAATGTGAGAATTCAAGGTTGGTGTGATAAGCGTCTCTAGAATGCTCACCAACCACAAACGTGGTCTGCATTCGATTTCCTTTATGTCAATGCACACTCCGCCATCACGCCTAATTTACTAATTTTCGTACAAAATGAGGAGGAGAGCTTTGGTGTTAGGTTACCTTCCCCACCCTGTAAATCAAACACCACGGCTACTGAGATTTCAGAGCTGAATGCTTGAAGCGGTGTGATCTATTTCGAATGCGAAGGAACAGTAAAACTCGATTGTATGATGAAACAAATTTACATACTCCATTAATCACAATAACATGAACTATGTGGAAGGAAAAGAGTGTCGAGGCATTCAGTATTTAACCCTACTTGAAGTTCATTCCCGTTTATGGTTTTCGCTGCATTCTATGTATACACATAAATCTTCTAAATGTGAGAGAGGCGTCTCTATCATTCAGTATTTATTACTTACTAGCGTCTGTTCCGTTATACTACTTTTGACGTAGAGATACTACTGAAGTAATTAACATTTTCTCTCAAATTTTTCATAGTCATAACACATACAGATCGGAAATCATTTTAGCATATCTTTAGGTCAACATCTTCCCACACAGTATTTTTTGCCAACACTCAAACGAAAGGTCAGATGAAAGGTGTATGCATTAAGACTAATACAATCACAAGGCTAAGAAATCTAGACTTTCCCAGTAAAAGACCAGAATCGGTGGGATTTACTTTAATTGTGAAAAACCGTGTGAAATTAAAGCTTTATGAGTGTATACATTTCACTCTACATCTATTGAAAAACGAGACCGGGTTTCTTTTGGTTGGATATCACACCAGTTTCAAGCTTCGCTACATTAATATGTGTAAGACTTGGCCGTTGTGGTAGTAAGTAATTCGATATTAGTTTGTGTTATTAGATCTATCACACAGAATGAAACAGTATTACACTTACTGGATGACAATGTGTCGAACACAATTTATTATTGTTCATAATCACTTCAATTATAATCACACAACATTGAAACTTGAGTTTTATAGTTCCCTTTTTCCTCTCTTATTTGTCGTCGTAGAGGAAGTAGAATTTTTCAGATATTTGGGTGAGCAGGTGTTGAATCATTCCTATTAGACGTGTTTGCAGCTGACTCGATAAACAAAGCTTCGTCAACCCCTCAATCTCTTTTTTCCATTCTCTCACATTACATTTTAAAACTGTCATCTTACCCCATCCCACATTCAAACCGATATTTGGATATCTTATCATCATCCAAAAGTTGTGTAACAACAGAAGACAAGGGCTGGCAACAGATCGCTTTATTACGGAAATCAGCACGTATTTATATATATATATATATTTCCTGTACATTATTATAGATTATTCAAGTAGACAAACACAGTCTTCTGATTGGTCGTTTCTGGTTTTCTCGGAAAGTGGAGCCATCTATCTGCGAATCATATTTGCCCACGTTAAGTCTGCTGTGATTGATTGTTGAATCAGCCTTGTTCATGTTTATCGACTAGTTATCCACTTTTTCACATATGTAGTTAACTCTTTCTCCTAGAGGTATATTTGTGAATAAAGATGTTATGTCCTGAGAGATATCATGGTTTTGCCTTGATATCAATATCTTCTATTTTGTTCACAAATTCAAATACATCTTTGTTGGAATGTTTCACTGTCTTCGCATGCAAAGGTTTGAGAATATATTTACTAACCATCTAGCTAGAGCATGGTAGAGCGAATTTCGCATTTAAAGTGTTGGTCTTAACGGTACCCTCTGTTTATGCACTTTAGGCAAGGCATACTATCTTGGCGTATACGTGCCCGTTGGTCTGATTTCATCTTTTTTCGTTTGCATTCCTCTCTTCTGGAACCAAAGGACTTCAAGTTTAAGATTTAAAGTTTCCCTATTGGTTGTAATGTTGCTCTCAAGCCCTAACTCCTCGCCTTATGAGGCCTACTATCAGCGCTAAGCAATGTTTTGGACTATATCGGCAAAATATAGCGGTCAAAACATATGTGCGATTGGACAAAACTATACTGCAGAAACCAATTAAACGCATTCTTTGTTTTCCTAATCAGTAAGCATCCCAGAAAACATGAAAATTTGGCAGTGGAGCTGGCAGTTCCATACAGTGGAAACAACCTTACAACTGTTGAAACTTTAAAAGCCCCATGGCTTAAAGCCATAAGTCCACCTCATTACTCAAATAAATGCTCACTTGAGAAATTTAGAAAATAAATCATCATCTAATCATCGAGTTAGTTTCCCTTTATTTTTTTTGTTTAACCCTTACAGATATTCAACTTGTCGGGTTTCACAAAAGAACTGCACTTTTCAAGTAGAGTAAGATGAATCATTTTTCACATTGATTTTTGAAATTGTTAATCAGTCCTGCGTCCACACTAAGAGTTGAAATGTGATCCCAAACAAAAAAATGTGATCAATTTTCAATTATTAGTTGTTTTGTAGGGATTTTGTTACATTAGTTGGAGGATTTTATCATTAAGGCTGATATCAGTTAGAAAAAACATTTGAAAACCACCTGGGAGTACTGGACAGCCGCCAGCCGTTTCATCAGCCTTTGTTTGGCATTCTTCAGCGGTTCCCAGCCACCATAATAGGGTTTTACAAGGCGAGTTCGTAGACCATCAAGCCCACTAGGAACTGATCCATTGGTCCATGAATTCCGACTTCACCAAATTCACGACTCACCGCAAACACTTTCAGTTCTATGTACTTGACATTCACTATCTGTTAAAAAGTGCATCTGTCATACACGCTTTATTGCTGCCAGATTCACAAATCAACTGGTATCTAGAGTAAAAACGAATTTATACCTATTATAGTGGCATTGACTTCATGTCAATCTCAAGGAAGTGAAGGCGCAGCCTACTGGACACAAAAATAAGAAGAAGAAGAGCAGACGTTGGCTCATATCACTATCTCATACAAGAGACAATCGAAATCAAATTAAAAGCTTTCAGGGAAACAGAAGCTGCAGACAGACCACAAGCCAATTTCAACACTCAAAAACTGAAGAACCCGGCTACAGAGGACATCTTCGTTTCAAGCATAAGGGACAACGCCGAGACACAAATCAACATTAGCGAAGAGGTCGGCGTCGAAAAGCACTGGGACAACTTGAAAATAGTGTGAAGTCAAACCTGCATGAAAGTTCTAGGCAGAAAAAAGAGACAGGACAAACAGTGGCTCACTACGGACACTTGGAAACTAATAGAGGAGAGAAGAATAGTGAAACAAAAGATTATCCAGTGCACTGATGAGCAACAAATACAGGAGCTGAATGCAAGCTACAATACGCTGAACAAAAGAGTGAAGAAGAGTGTCAAGGAAGACAAAAGAAAATATTATGAAGTAATGACAAGTGAAGCAGAACAAGCTGCAGTACAGGCAAAGGAGACCTCGCCACACTCTACCAAACAACTAGGCATCTATCGGGCAAACGTTTGACATAGATTAAGCCAGTAAAGGATGACAATGGAAAGTCATTCACTAAAGAGGTGGAGCGAAGGAAACACTTGGCTGAACACTTCAAAAGACTTCTAAATTGGCCGTCACATACAACGCGACCAACAATACCAACAACGGAGGTAGAAATACAAGTGAACAATGACCCTTCGACGAAATCAGAAGTCCTGAACGCAATCAAGATGCTAAAAGCTGAAAAACCAGCAGGACCAGATGGAATCCCAGCAGAAGCATTTAAAATAGACCCAGAGACAACAGCGGGCTTGATAACGCCACTGCTGGAGAAGGTGTGGAAAGAGGGCAAGGTACTTGAAGATTGGAAGAAAGGTTACTTGTCCAAACTACCAAATGAGGGCGACTTAAGTCAACGCAAGAACTTTCGCGGCATTATGCTCCTGCCCATCCCAAGCAAAATACTAAGCCACATCATCCTGGAGAGAATCAAACAAGCCTTGGATAAAAAACTTCGACCGGAAGAGGCTGTATTAAAGAGAAACAAGTCATGCATCGATCAAATAGCAACACCACGTCAGATGGGCCTTGCTGACGAGTGCCAAATAGCAGTAAACCTAGGTCTAAGGCTTCCTGCTGATTGTCTCCAACTATCTAACTAAGTGTCATCATTGAACAGGACTTAGAATGACAGTCAGCTCTCTATTTCAACTTCATTGACTTTGAAAATGCCTTCGACAACGTCCATCGAGAGTTAAATTGGAAACTACTTCGCTACTACGGGGTGCCGCCAACAGTTATACATCTCATCCAACAGTTGTACGACAATGCTGCATGCCAAGTAATCCACAACGGGAAACTTACGGAATCCTTCGAAGTGAAGATGGGAGTAAGACAAGCTGGCTGCCTACTATCGCCAGTGATTTTTTTGATTGCGATAGATTGAATAATGCGACTGACAGCGGCAGGCAATGAGGAAACAGGCATAAAGTGGACCGATATAAAAAACTTCGAGAATATGGACTTCGCCGATGATATATGTCTGATTTCCCACAAACTGGAAGATATGCAAGTTAAAAGCAACAAGTTTGCAGAAGAGGCATCCAAAGAAGAGAGGACTACAGGTGAACATAGAGAAAACAGAGGTGATGAAGATTCCTGACCAACACCAAAAGCCACAGAAACAACAACATACAACAATCAGCATAAATGGGAGGACCCTGAAAGAAATAACCTCCTTTTCCTACCTGGGAAGCATCGGTTCAACTACAGGCGGAAGCAGCTGGCAAGGATATAAAAGCAAGAATCCGGAAAGCAAGGCAAGCCTTCATTACTCTCAAACAGAAAGAAATGGATGTGGATTGGTCATACTCTGAGGAAACCATCAAGTAACATCACCAAACAAGCCCTCGAGCGGAACTCGTAAGGGAAGCGGCGAGTTGGTCGCCAAAGGGTGAATTGGAGGAGAAGGAAAAACACTAAGAATTGTAGCAGTTTTTTCCAAACCTGCCTGGTATTCCAGTGAATCGTCAGTCAATAGACACATCGACGTAGACAAAATCTACCAGCTGATAAAAAAGAAATCTTTCACACAAAAAGGTCAAAGTTCAGATCAAGGAAATATTCAACACCAATAACAATACAAGTGTGCTGAGAGATACACAGTTTATTTTCTCCAGGAATGAATTGTATAGATCTCGTTTTAGTACTACAAAAGTATCATCCACATATCTTAACTATATTTTGGGAGTGAGTATGCTTGAAAAGATATTATTTTCGAATTTATTCATGTAAAGATCGGCGACTATTGGGGAGACTGGTGAACCCATGGCAACTCCATTTGTCTGTCTATAAAAACTCCCTTTGAATGTAAAATAATTACTTTCTAGACAGAATTTTAAGCTCTTAATTATTTCGCTGGTGTCTAGTGGACATCTTTGTGATAGTGTTGTATCTGATTCTAGTAGACTGGAAATGATATCAAGACCTTCGGTAATAGGGATGCTAGTATACAGTGAGTTAATATCATAGCTTACCATAATGTCTTCTTTATCAATTTCTTGGTGTTCTATTTGGGATTTGAAATCATATGAATTTTTTACAATATTTTGAGTGTCCTTTTGTAGTGGTTGTAGTATCGAGAGTAAGTATTTAGAAAGGTTGTATGTTGGTGAGTTGGTGAAATCTATTACTGGTCTTAATGGAACTGTGGGTTTATGTATCTTTGGTTGACCGTAGAATCTTGAAGGTATATAAGATTTTGGTTTTAGTGTAAACCAGAGCGAATTTCCAATTTTGGGTTTCATTTCTTGAAGTAGTCTGTTTGTATTTAGCTTCATTTTGTTGAATTCGGCGGATTTCTTCTTCTCTTCAATGAGTAAGTATGGTCCTTCAGATAGGTGTTCAATCGTCTTCTTTTCATAATCCGTTCTGTTCATTATCACAGTGACGTTCCCCTTGCCGGCTTTCGTTATGACGATGCTTTTGTCCTTCTTCAAATTTCTTAAGGCTTCATATTCTTGTTTGGTGAGATTAGATGGTATGTTTCGTTGTGTCATTAATATGTGTGATATCTTTTGACGAGCAGATTGTGATTCTTCATTGGTGAGTTGTTGTAGAGCAGGTTCAATCATAGGTGCTATTTCCTGGACTGATAATGGCTTTCTAGTTATATTGAAATTCAAACCTTTCTGTAGTAATGAGATTTCATTTTCGGTTAGTATCTTGTCTGACATGTTATGTATGGCTCTAATATTCTTCATATCATTTGTTGAGGTTTTCTTTGGTTGTTTCTTTTCTTCGAGTTTCAAGAATTTTTGAATATTTCTTCTTTTAGTGACATTATGAAAATGAGATTCGCGTTCATTGAACAATTTTTGAAAGGATTCATAGATATGATTTGTAACAAGTAATGTTAAGCAGTTATCTATATTTTTGATTCTCATTCGATAAGATTCAAGTTTGATGTTGCATATATGTATTCGTTCTCGTAAAAATACTTTGGAGGTATGATTTGCAGCAAGTATGGATTTGTGTGAATATTCAGGAGGTTTAACACGTAGTGATTTGGGAATAATTCCACTTTGTAGACAGCGTAAATTGAAAATACGATGATTATAAAAGTAACATTTATGCTTCGATAGAGTAATCCGGTTTTTAATTAGATTATATATGTCCAAACCAAGTTATGAATATTTATAATTGTAATAATAATAATAATTATAATGAATATCATATACCCAAATTTTTTCAAACCGTTAAAAGTGAACTTGGTTTGGACATATATAATCTAATTAAAAACCGGATTACTCTATCGAAGCATAAATGTAACTTTTATAATCATCGTATTTTCAATTTACGCTGTCTGCAAAGTGGAATTATTCCCAAATCACTACTTGTTAAACCTCCTGAATATTCACACAAATCCATACTTGCTGCAAATCATACCTCCAAAGTATTTTTACGAGAACGTATACATATATGCAACATCAAACTTGAATCTTATCGAATGAGAATCAAAAATATAGATGACTGCTTAACATTACTTGTTACAAATCATATCTATGAATCCTTTCAAAAATTGTTCAATGAACGAGAATCTCATTTTCATAATGTCACTAAAAGAAGACATATACAAAAATTCTCGAAACTCGAAGAAAAGAAACAACCAAAGAAAACCTCAACAAATGATATGAGGAATATTAGAGCCATACATAACATGTCAGACAAGATACTAACCGAAAATGAAATCTCATTACTACAGAAAGGTTTGAATTTCAATATAACTAGAAAGCCATTATCGGTCCAGGAAATAGCACCTATGATTGAACCTGCTCTACAACAACTCACCAATGAAGAATCACAATCTGCTCGTCAAAAGATATCACACATATTAATGACACAACGAAACATAACATCTAATCTCACCAAACAAGAATATGAAGCCTTAAGAAATTTGAAGAAAGACAAAAGCATCGTCATAACGAAAGCCGACAAGGGGAACGTCACTGTGATAATGAACAGAACGGATTATGAAAAGAAAGCGATTGAACACCTATCTGAAGGACCATACTTACTCATTGAAGAGAAGAAGAAATCCGCCGAATTCAACAAAATGAAACTAAATACAAACAGACTACTTCAAGAAATGAAACCCAAAATTGGAAATTCGCTCTGGTTTACACTAAAACCAAAATCTTATATACCTTCAAGATTCTACGGTCAACCAAAGATACATAAACCCACAGTTCCACTAAGACCAGTGATAGATTTCACCAACTCACCAACATACAACCTTTCTAAATACTTACTCTCGATACTACAACCACTACAAAAGGACACTCAAAATATTGTAAAAAATTCATATGATTTCAAATCCCAAATAGAACACCGAGAAATTGATAAAGAAGACATTATGGTAAGCTATGATATTAACTCACTATATACTAGCATCCCTATTACCGAAAGTCTTGACATCATTTCCAGTCTACTAGAATCAGATACAACGCTATCACAAAGATGTCCACTGGACACCAGTGAAATAATTAAGAGCTTAAAATTCTGTCTGGAAAGTAATTATTTTACATTCAAAGGGAGTTTATATAGACAGACAAATGGTGTTGCTATGGGTTCACCAGTCCCCAATAGTCGCCGATCTTTACATGAATAAATTCGAAAATAATATCTTTTCAAGCATACTCACTCCTAAAATATGGTTAAGATATGTGGATGATACTTTTGTAGTACTAAAACGAGATCTACACAATTCATTCCTGGAGAAAATAAACTGTGTATCTCCCAAAATCCAGTTCACTTCGGAAGCAGAATCAGACATCGGTGAACTTCCATTTCTAGACTGCCTAGTTAAGAGAAAGGAAAACGGACATTTTAGTATATCCATATTCAGGAAGAAAACCCACTCCAACAAATATTTAGACTTCAAATCATCACACCCCATCAGCGCAAAGATTTCAGTTGTTTCAAGTCTTCTTAGACGAGCACACTCCCTGATAACAGATGAGCAAGAAAAAGAAGAAGAAATTTCAAACATCACTAAAACTCTCAAGCAAAACAACTACCCAACGAACTTCATCAACAAAATCAACACAGACATTAAGTATGGCCGAAAATGCATTCCGAAAAAAAAAACTTCAACAGTCGTCATTCCATATAGAGCAGAGACGTCAGACGATATCAGAAGAGTACTCAATCAGCTCGACATTAGAGTTTTCTTCAAAACATCGGACACACTTCAAAACAACCTTGTCCATATAAAAGACCAAATCCCGAAAGATTCTCTATCTAATTGTGTCTATAAAATAAAATGCTCGGAATGTGATGCGATCTACATCGGACAAACATCTCGAGAAATCAAAATCAGAAGAAATGAACACCGTAGAGCTTCTCTTCGACCACCAAGAAATCCAGTTGAACTAGAAAAACTTCAAAAATCATCAGCCATAGGTCTACATGCTATAGAATCAGGCCACAAAATTGATTTTGACAATATTGAAATAATCCAGAAAAACTTCAGAAACCACAAAGAACGTCTAATATCAGAAGCAGCACTTCATATCAAGTGGAATCCAAATTGCCTGAATAGGAATGATGGACTGAAACAGAATCTGACCTGGCTACAACACCCTCCAAACCCATGAAGTAGCAAAATCAACGCAAATGTGATGAGCAAGTTCACTATGTAAACACACACTACAAAAAAAAAATACACACTGATAAAATCCAACAATCTACACTTGATTTTGTTATCTTTACCCATTCGCCAACTTGACAACAAAAAAACGAACCCAGACTGACGAACGATGATCAAGTATTTACACCTCATAGTTTGTTACCTTTACCATCCCAACTGACAACAAAAGACCACTACGAACGATATAAGTATTTCACAATCTACACTTAGTTTGGTTACCTTTACCTATTCTCCAACTTGACAACCTAAATGATCCCAGACTAACGAACGATGATCAAGTTAGTAAACTTTATTTTGATATAATAACAGATATACTATTACCTTCGATATTTGGTTTGAACGATCTTCATTGTTATTTTGACTTTCAATATGTCCTTTTAAGTTGAACTAAGTCTATATTTTTCTCACCCCCTAACTCTTTGTTATATATATGCTGAGATTTGTAAATTCCGGTTTAATAATACTTTGAGAAAGCTATTAGCATTAAATAGCGAAACGTCAGTAAAAACAATCTCGTTTTGTTTTTCATTCATTGGGAATTACAAAGACCTCTATTTCACTGAAATTATTCCTAGCTGACTGTATTTCGTCTGATCTGATATAATGTTATTGCTTCTTTTTTGTTTTCAGACTCCTGTTATTGATCTTTTCTGGGGTGGATCACTTGCACCTGCATTAGAACAACTTGTAACAGCTATTGATCAGCTAGACTTTTGGTTGCACAATCATGATATCGGTGGGTCAACAACAACTGGAGATGGAAAACGGTCAAAAGAAGCCTCAATTGTAAATAATCGTGTAGCTGTATTACACTGTACGGGGCCTAAAAGTCTATTGGCCACCTATTTAGCTGTATATATATGTCAATCAAAGGCTAGATTTGGTCCGTTGTGTGGACAAAGACCAGGTTCACCAACAGCACGTGGTCTACAATGGAATGAAAATAGATTTCGAAGGTATGTACTTCTGAATGTGTTGGAGGTGTTTTTGTCTCGTTCTAAAAATGATTCGCCTGCAACTGATTCAATATAAAAATACACTAGTCTGTCTGACCTTAAGTGTGTTTACAAAGTCGATTTAAAAGGTGTCTAGAGTGAAAAATGCAGTAGCTATAATGTTTCGCATAAGTTTTTTGCATCTTAAGAATCCGCCCCTAGACAAATCACAGTACCAAAGAAAAAAAACTGTTTATGAGTCTTGCATTCAAAAGTGACACCATTTCAGAATTGATTAAAAATCGTTTATTTAAATGTATTAAACGCACTTTTCCTGCAGCTGACTTGCAACTAGTTTTCACCAGCCGAAACATGATTAAACAATGCGTGAAGGGTGGATTACCGCTTTTTTTCACATCTATGTGCATTTAATCTTTTACCTGCTCTTGTGGAGCTGATTATAGTGGACGTTGTAAGCGTACCCTCCGAAAACATGTAGCAGAACCCTATCCGGTTTGGTTAATGAAAGGTGAATGTAGAACTGCAAAGTTGTCCATTTGTGATCATCTGTTAGAGTCTGGTCTTTCAGCCCCAGGTGATTCATCCTTCAAGGTTATCTACATGGCAAAATCGAATCGCTCCATAAGTTTACGTTTTCTTCACTTATGCAAGCTAGCCGAAACTTTAGCTGTGCATGAACAGAAACCTAAATTATGTGTTCAAAAACGCCTTGTCAAACCCCTTTCCTTACCTTGGTCATAGTAATATTCTTTCTAGTTGTTATTTTATTTTACCACTTGAATTCACTCCACTTCACTTCACATCTTCATTCTTATCGTAATTGTACTCATAATGTTTTTAAAATTTTTAGACAACACTTGACATTTTTAAAACATTTTTGACATCAATCCACTTGTGAAACAATAATAATTTTGTAATTTATCTACTTCAACTCTACCACCCTTTAAGCATTTTAATTGTCGTTATTCTTATCATATATATATATATATATATATATATATATATATGCATATTGACTGAGCAATTGTTTAGTGCCAATTAATAACCTTCTTTTGTAATGTATATACGTCTTCGCAGCTTGAAAATGAAGTCGTTGATAAGAAAATTTCTTCGCTGAACCAAAAAATTGTGTCTTTAGAATACTAGATTCAACAGAGCAAGAAGTTCAGTAAAGATATCTGGCTTTCCGGCGATTTCATTTTCAAAAGTAGCTAGCTGTACAATCACATTTAAATACATAGTTTTACATGAATACATAATTACGATGGCGAATAAGAGGTGAAAATTATCTTCAACTAGATGTGGTTTACGAGAGGCTTAGAAACAAAATTAACACAGGATTAGAACGGATAACAAGTGTGTAAAAATGAGCATGGAAACAAAATTAAAATAATCATTCTCAACTTGAAATGGAAGTTAGGAGGTGTGAATATAGATTACAAGAGCCTTGGAAACACAAAAATTGCACAGGATTAAGATATAATTGTAAAATAGTTGATTGTTTTTAAACGAATTATAAATGTGAACGGGAAATGCATGGAAACAAACATAATATAACTGTTTTTTATAACTGAAAAAATTGGGTTAATCGAATGAAGACAGAGGAAGTAAGAATCACACACACGGCGAACGACTTGAAGCTGGAGAAATTAGTCCAATCTCTACAAATACCATGGGCCTAGTTCGATATGTTCCCTTTTTTTCTATCCTTCACGTACCCCAGTGAAACATAGGGCTGCAAGCTAGTGGCTTGAAGTTGCTGCTGCAGTGTTTATTTTACAGGATGGGGTTGCTAGTCTCATGCCCAATCTTTCCTCTTTACCAGGATTAGTTCTGACTTAGAGAGGTAAAGGAGTGCATCGGTGGCCGGGAATTGAACCGCGGACCATGTGCATGGTCGGCGAGCGTCGTAACCGCTGTGCCACTGATGCAAGGTATGTTCCCCTAGCTTCTGTTCTTTTCTTCTTTCGTTATCTTTTTTCGTTCTGTGTGTATGTGTGTGATTCTTACTTCCTCTGTCTTCACTCGATTCACCCAATTTTTTCAGTTATAAAAAAAGTTATATTATGTTTGTTTCCATGCTTTCCTGTTCCCATTTATAATTTGTTTAAAAACAATCAACTATTTTACAATTATATCTTAATCCTGTGCAATTTTTGTGTTTCTAAGGCTCTTGTAATCTATATTCGCACACCTCCTAACTTCCATTTCAAGTTGAGAATGAGTATTTCAATTTTGTTTCCAAGCTCATTTTTACACACAGGTTATCCGTTCTAATCCTGTGTTAATTTTGTTTCTAAGCCTCTCGTAAACCGCATCTAGTTGACGATAATTTTCGCCTCTTATTCGCTATCGTAATTATGTATTCATGTAAAACTATGTATTTAAATGAGATTGTACAGCTACTTTTGAAAATGAAATCGCCGGAAAGCCAGATATCTTTACTGAACTTCGTGTTCTTTTCTTTCTAACGTAGTTATATTTCATGGAGGATTTAATCATGAGCTGACATCAGTTAGAGAACCACTGGAAAACCTAGGAGTACTGGACAGCTGTTTCGTCCTAGTTTGGGACTCTTCAGCAGTACGCACCCACCGGGGTTCAAACCCGGGGCCTCCTGGTTACAAGGCGAGCTCGTAGACCATTGAGCCACTGGGACCCGATCCCATGGTCCGTGAATTCTAACTTCTGCCAATTCACGACATAGCGCGACCACTTCGCAATGTCTTCTTCGATGAGTCACTGCCTCATCTTCAACCTGCTGTACCCTACTGGTTACGGCTTCCCACTAGAACCCCAGGTTAACTGCCTGAATAGGGCCAGTCACTAGTGAGCACAGATTAATTTTCAAGTATTGGTTTTGTAGGGATTTTTTTTGATTGCATGGAGGATTTAATCATTTATATTTAACAAAGAATTCATAAGGCCACCACTCATTCAGTTACTGGTGATAAAATTTGTCCTTGAAATTATGTATTACAGAATGTAATGTGTAGTCTAAACTGGGTGACTAAAGAAGAAAATCAATACACACAATTAAAAGGTAGAAATCAATACAACAAACAAGTGGATTACATAATGGATAATTTTGGAAAAAGGAAGAGCAGTTAAGGAATAAGCATGTGCACAGTTTGATTACGTAACAGATTGTTAAAGAAAATAAAACGATTTGGACAATGATAACTTGTAACTAAGGCTGAAGTGGTCATAAGAATATAATAATTTTACAGGGACAACATGTCATTAAAGATGTAGTCGGAAGAGATAGTAAAATAATTCGGACGATTATAATTTTTAAAGGTTTAGGGGGAGGTGGGCGAAGTAGTCCGGTTTATACATTCATGTAACGATGGTCAGACAAGGTAAGGAAAGTGGCTGTACAGATTTCTTCTGAACACACACACACAGGTTTGGCTTGTTCTTCAGGTGGATTCCTATTGCTTCAGCTGTAAGTATTTGGAAGACGAACTCGTAGAGCAAAATTAAGATTAGTAGGAATGCGATAGATAATTTCAAATGTTGTATAAACGTCAACCTTATGCTCACTATCTATAAGGTGTGCTAAAACAGAGCTGCGCATACACCTTGTTTGTCTTTCACTTTATCATGCTGGAGGATGTTGGGAAATACGATGATGAACCTGCATTCCACAGTACTCTGGTGCTAAAACAGAGCTAACCGAAGAAGGTTTAGTGTGACGACAAATTGTTTTTCAACGCATAACGGTGGTTTAAACTTCCAAGTCGTCAGCTAGGGCTTCCACAAACTTTAGGATACGCCTCAAACACACATTCTATAGATAGTTTAAAGATGTGTAAACATCAATTTTATGTCCTGTCTCTAAAATATGTTTTTCAATAAAGGAGTTAGTTCACCGGTTCTCGCCATTAATGGGTTCTGGGGATTCTATTTTCTTATGAATTTGTGTATACTCTGTGTATACTCTGAAGCCAGCCCTTACTTGCAGAGAGAGATGAATCCTCCTTATGTATATGTAAATACAGTAGGATGTGACATCATTTTTTGCATGTTCAAAGAGCTTAGATGGGTGGATATATTGGCTTCACATTCTCTATTATTATGATATTAGCTGCATAAAAAGTCTTTCTAACAACAGCGTTCCGTCTTTGTCTGGTTATCAAGCTGCTTTGATGCCCCATATATAGGGTAGCTTGATGTACACGTCTTTCTAAGTGTCGAGTCGAAAAGTAGGTCTTGATGTTCTGGCTGCTTCATATCTCCTGATAAACTCGTCCGGATAAGTATTGTCAAACACAGTTTGTACCAAATTTCTTTCTCTCTTACTCATCGAGTGTATATTCGGTGCATATTTCTTAGATTCTATTGAACAGGCACCTTGCTAAACCTTTTTTGCACTGAACAAGGCGAAACTGTGATGATAATTAAGATACTGTCCCGTCCATGTAGGTTTTCCATACATAATAGATCGTTTTACTGATCCATCCACGGCCAACGACGAAGCAATATATATTATCTAGGAAAGATAAACAATTCTCTTCCTCTTCTACACACTTACGTGATATGCTATTCTGAACTTCGTTCATTTGATTTAAAATTCAGGCGGCAGAACAAGGCTTATTATCACTTGTGATTGCAATGTATATCGGTATATCTTCTATTAACTGGCGCATTTTTTCATTAAGTCTTCCGTAAGATAAACATTCAGTGTCTGGTATATGTATATAGATATCTGCTGAAATGGGGCCCCGACGGACTTTCCACAGCGTCACCATCGATTCAGACAAAAACTGGCTTCTCGTTGCTTTGCCTAAATAATGATAATAATAATAATAATGGGAAAATGTTGCAAAGAGAAGGGGGAAAGTAAGGGGAATTATAAAGGTTGAATAAAATTATGCCTAACAAAGTAGATTTACAGTCAATCAGTTGATTGTGACTAGCAGTGGAATCCACCAGAATACGCGTTTCATCCAATCTGGTACTGACTCGTTGGCTGGATGCGCCTGCACTCCTCAGTGGAAGATGGTGTTCCTATTAATGTCTCCTTTATTATTATTTATTATTACATCCTTTAATTCCTAGAGGAACATAGTGCTTCAGCTGCGCACCTCCATTGCCTTCTGTATTCTGCCAACTTTTTCCCCCGCTCCAAGTCTGCCCACATGCTTTCATCTCCTCCTCGCATGACCTCCTCCAAGTCACCCTTGGACGACCAACTCCTTTAGTATACAATTTTATTACCTTGTAACAACAGAAAACAAGGGTCAGTCAACAGATCCTTTATTAAGGAAATCAACACATATTTATAGATTTTCATGTACATTAATATGGATTATTGTTAGTAGACAAACACAGTTTTCTGAATGGTGGTTACTAACTGAATGTCAGTTAATCTATCATCGCTTTGTGACTGTTTCGTGGATGTGCTAACTGTATCCACCCACGCAAAGTCTCGTGCGATTGGTTGCAGAGTCAGTGTTTGTTCTTATTTTCTCACGACCAATCTTCGGGACGTAAACATTGACGTAAGCTGCTGTCTTACAATTTGGCTAGCAGCCAGCTCTCACCACAACCTTGCTCACTATTAATAACTGTGAAGCTTCTAATCATCACGAAATGATCACAATCCAGTCGCATGTCGTATGATTGATCTATTTTTGGGGGATATCATCATGAGTGCCGAAAAGCCATGTGGACCATTTGCTTCCAGAAACACATGTAAATTTTCAGAATACACATTTTGATTTGGCCAGAATTGATCGATCGATCGATATCTTTCATCTTTACCTGTTACTTACACTAACCCATTGTTACATTTATCAGCAATGCACCAGCGATGACTAGATAACAATGTTTGTAGAGGAATGTTCAGCTAATGAGTTCCATCAACCGAAACTGATGAATTTATTCAATATACTGCTCTTTTATATATTTTTGTGTGTTTAAAACAAAGGTTAATTTTTCACTGTTTCTTTCTTTTCTGTTTTGCTTTGTCTATTTACCAATACAGATTTAAAAATGAACTTGTTTTAGGCCATACAATACTGAAGAAATTCTATGAAGATAATTTAGCCAGAGAGCTGAATCCATCACAGAAAAGGTAAGTGTGTGTGGTGTGTAGATTTATTCATATTTTTCTGTATGTGCGTGTGTGAAATGACACCTTATTTTCAAATTTCACAAAGGATTGATATCAGTTAGAGAACTGATGAAAACCGATAGGAAGTACTGGACACCTGTTTTTTGTCAGCCTAGTTTGGGACTCTTCAGCAGCACGCACCCACCGGGGTTTAGACCCAAGACCTTCTGGTTACAAGGCTAGCTAGCTAGCTAGCTCGTAGACCAATCAGCGGTCACTGGGACCCGATCAAATGACCAACCAGCCCATGAATTCTAACTTCTGCCAATTCACGATATAGCGCAGCTGCTAGTCAATGTCTTTGATGGCGAGTATTTGTCCTCACACCCAACCTGCTGCACCCTACTGGTCACGACTTCTGACTAGAACCAGCCCAGGTAACTACTACCTACCTGAGTAAAGGCAAGTCGCTAGTGAGCATCTCATCGATATTTAAGTGACGGTTTGTAGGCATTTCATTTCGTTACAGGATTTCATCATGAGCTAATAATATCGATTGGTAAAGTATAATCACAGTGGAATTACCACAGTTCATTAAAGATGCTTAAATAATAATAATAATAAAGATATAATAACGAATACAATATCAACTAAAATTAGGGAAATATATGCAAAATTTGAGGATCATTCAAACCTAGATGGGCAAGGTAAGGACAGTGTCTGAACTGGCTTCTTTTGAATACATAAATTTGGATTCCTAACATAACATAACATAACATAAGCTTTATTCCAAATCAGTACTTGTGATACAGAATGGAATTCTCAGCATTTTACTACAATATTGCATCCAGTTTTTTACATTAACAATAAATAAAGTTCTACATAGATTAAAGTTATCTCAACAACATATTAGTATGTCAGTAGCAAAGCCAGAATTAAAGTGTTTGAAGGTGTTAGAAAAGTAGATACTACTAGCATATTTACTGGCGTAAGCGATAGCAAAATGGTCGAGATATACAGAGTGTGAAAGAACGAACAAGAATGTTTTTAAGTAGAGTTTGCAAGGAAGAGAGAAACAAAACAGCACATAACAAAAATAAAATACAGAATGAAGAGCGAGAAAACGTTGTACCTATAAATGATGTGAGTTGGAAAGACGAGATCCAGTTGTTCTACTGACTATTTAATAAGTTAAAGGTTTCATGCCTGATGCATTCTTTATCGCACAGAACACGGGCTAGGTAGGGTTTGGATGAGTTTTTGTACTTACTAGTGCGGGCATATAGTTTCCTATATAGGCTTCTTGTTTTCCCTGAAGAGATACATGGGGAGAGTTGTGAGTGTAGAGGGTGTTGTGAGTCAGATAAAATGGATTTCGCCCATTTTTCACATGAGTCCATATGCCTGTCCACCAGAATATTAACAAGCTGGCTAAGTGGCAAACTGCTTACCCTGCTGACAACCTTTAACATCCTACGTAATAAGGTATAGTCTTTCTTCAATAGCCCAGGAAAGACTAAGGGGGAGCAATAGAGAATAATAGGCAGAATACGGGAGTTAACAAATTGTAAGAGTAAGGGTCGGGTTACAGCAGAATGTCTTAACTTCTTGATGTAGAAGGTAAGACGGTATATTTTCTTGGAAATCGTCAAGATATGAGACGACCAGGAAAGATCAGAAGATAAAGTGACGCCTAGGTATTTAATTTCCGCGTTGGTTTCTATTTCACTGCCATCTATGTTGCACACCTCGTGAGTGCTAACCAGTTTGTTTAGGTCAGATTTATGCCTAATGTGGATCCCAACAGCCAGTCTCAGCAATATTTAATAATCGAACTCTTAAGACAAAATTGAGATTCGTAGGTATTCGGTAAATAACCCTGAAAGCCCAGTTAACATCAATCTTGTGTTCTGTATCCACTAGATGAGACAGAATAGTGCTGCGAATAGATTTTGTTTGTCCTATGCTTCTCATCGATATTTAAGTGATGGTTTGTAGGGATTTCATTTGGTTACAGTATTTCATCATGAGCTGACTTTGGTTAGCTATTATTATTCCGTTACAGACATCACTGAACAGATTTATGAATACACCTACTGCTTATCATAAATGTGCATATAACTCTATTGCACAAGCTTAACGGGGAAAGGCAATCTGAAGAGCACTTGTTTTTAACTAATAAATATCTCTGCCATTCATCATGTGGGGGTGGGTGGGTTCTGATGGAATTCACAGTTGAGAAGATGGCTTTGAGTTGGTGAGTTGGTGGTTGGTTAGAATGCTCATGGACTGCACAAATGACTCTTCATCGCCCCCCTCTACTAGGCGACATCTTCAGCGCATGCACTTCAGTTCGATGAAGTGAGCTTTCAGATTTCTCCACGAATTTATTAATCATCCCTCCTGTTGGGTGAACTTGAACGTTATGATTGGTTGTTTTGCGTGTTTTCACACCTTCTAGTCTACTTGTATTGGTATTAGTGTTGATTGTTTACTTGATCTGAGCTTTGATCCTTTGTGTGTGAGATTTGTTCCTAATCAATTGATAGATTCTGTCTATCTTGATGTGTCTATTGATTGTTGATTCACTGGAATACCAAGAAGGCTTCTAAATATCCCTAGCATTCTTGGTGTTTCCTCTGTCGTCTAATATTTGAACGTTGGTTGTCCCAGTCGAATTGATGTCCGTGGTTGTCTGTTTGGAGTGAGTGATATGAGGGAGTGGATGCTATGTCTTTTGATGGCTAACTTATGTTCGTGAATATGAAGACGAAGGGGACGTCCACTTTAGCCAATTTATTGTTTTTCGTAGTTGTTACAGTTTATTCTGTAGATGATGTTGGTTATATCTTCTTTCGCTTTTGAGTCTTTTGGCTGACATATAGTTGAGTGAGGTGATTTTGTCGGTTTGTGTACGATGTCAAATCCTAAGGGTTTGAAGAGTCTTGCAGTGATTTCTGAGATATCCTTTATATATGGTAGAGCGATTTTCTTTGTGCTTTTCTTGGTAGCTTTTGGTTTGATGGGTTGTCATGAGTGTATATGTCTTTTGATGAAATTCCGTGGATATTCATTCTTTTGGAAGACGTCCATGAGATCTCTCTCTTCAATTTTCTTTAAGGTTGAAGAGCTGCAATGGGTCCCTACCCTCTTGAGTAGTGTTCGTATGTAATTCCTTTTGTGTCTTATTGGATTCTTGGTGTTGTAATTCAGGATTTGGTCTGTGTGAGTTGATTTTCTATAAACTTCAGTCTCTTATTCCCCTGTAGTTGTTCGCTTGACTAAGACGTCCTGAAATGGGATATCGTCATTGGATTCCTCTTCTCTTATGAATTTGATGTCGTTGAAGACTTTGTCTATTAGGTTGTGAGTTTTATCTAACTCATTTCTTTTAATTATTGCAAATTTGGCGTTTACGTAACAAATCCAAATTTTGGGTTTGATTGTTAGTAGGATTATGTTTTCAAGTCTTTGCATTACTCCTTCTGTAATCGATTCTGATATTAGCGATCCATCCCATGGGTGATCTTTTGAATTGTTCATATATTCGACAGTTGAATTCGAAGTACGTTGTTAGGCATAGGTTTATGCATCCCATCCAGCTTGTGTGTGATGCATTTTTGTTTGTTGTGCAAACGGAGTGTTCGTCGTTGCTGAGTAGTAATTGCTCCATGGTTGCTCTTTTGCTAGTTTTTGTCCGATTGAGGTGTATAATGCTGTGACGTCGAAGGATATCATTAGTTCTTGTTCATCTATTTGGATGCTTTTGATATTCTCTAGGAATTGGATAGCAGAATAAATGGAGTGATCACAAGATTCCGTTGTTAAAATCAATTTCATAGTGAACAGTTTAATTGTCTCTATGTCTCTCTCTCTGTATTTCTGTCTCACTAAGTTCATTTCTGTGTATTTCACCTAGAACAGGTGGAAGAATACTTTCAATTTCTCAGTAAATTACAATTAATTTAGTTCGACAGTTATGTCAACATAGAGGCATACATACACACACACATATACACACGTACAAGAAAACATTCAGAGTGACAATCTCATGTGTTTGTTAAACCATCTTAATTACTCACGTATCAACTTGAAGACCACACAGAAAGTTAAATGAATTTGTTACTTAAAAAACATGTACAACATTGATGAACTGGTAAGTAAAATTAAGATAGTTACACGTCAAATTTAAACTAGCGAACAGCCTTCCCTCCTTAATTCCTTAATTAATTTTTCTTCCTCTTTTAAATAAAATCAGGTATGATGTAGGTAATAGCCAGCTGTGATGTGATGTTATTTTGTAACAAGATGGCTAACTGCGTGCGTAAGTGTGTGTGCGTTTCGTCCTGTATGGGACTCATCAACTGAACTGAGTAGTGGTGTTCAGTTGAATAAGAATCAAAAAAAAATAATCGAGCAAAGAATATATTCTTTTCGATGAATTCCTCCTCTTCTAGCTCCACAATTATATATGTGCATGTTTATATACATAGAATATTCTAGATTAGTAGTCAATAACAATATTAGTGTTTTTTTTTAAATAATATCGATTTGTAAAATATATCAACTAAAATTAGGGAAACATATGCAAAATTTCAGGATCATTCAAACCTAGATGGGCAAGGTAAGGACAGTGTCTGAACTGGCTTCTTTTGAATACATAAATTTGGCTTCCTAATGTGGATTCCAACAGCCAGTCTCAGCAATATTTAATAAACGAACTCTTAAGTCTAAATTGAGATTTGTTGGTATGTGGTAAATGACCCTGAAAGCATGGTTAACGTCACTCCTGTGTTCTGTATCCACAAGATGAGATAGAATAGCGCTATGAATCGATTTTCTTTGTCCTATGCTTAAGCATGCAGGGTGACTTTAAGCATGCTTTCAAGGTTATTTACTGCATACCAACGAATCTCAATTTTGCCTTAAGATTTCGACTAGTAAATATTGCTGAGACTGGCTGTCGGGATCCATATTAATAAGCCTAATTTGTGGGTTAGTTCAGACATTATCATTACCTT